ATATGGATTCATTAGCTTGAATATTTAACAATAATTAGGGCTCAATTGATAAATATCATAGTAATACACTAATATTCTTATTAGTCGATTGCTTTTGACGCCATGCAGCCATATTTAATCTTAGCCATCTTAGATTACTATAAGAAAATTATAGCTAATTTAGACATATATCAACCATAAATTAGCTAGTGAAAATTAAAAAATGAAGTAATTACAATATATATATATATATATATATATCAACGGTGTATTTTATTTTTTTTCTTTTATAAAGTCTTTGTCTAATAATTTGGACACACGTATATAACAAATGAACTTAATTAAGACATATATGGGATGGTCCCAATTAAAAGAAGAAGCTTTATACAAGTAGCTAGTTAGAAAGGTAATGAAATTGAATGGGAGTCACGTAGGAAATCGAAGTCGCTTCCACATGGAGATCAAGAAAGGTGAACAATGTATATACATAGATAATTATATATGTGTGCATGTGTATATATATGATGTATGTATGTATATATATCTTGTTAAGCCGGAGTTTGAGGATAAGATTAATAACAAAGTGTGGGCCCAGCTAAGAAGAAGAGAGAGAGAGCTGGAGACCGACAAAGAGCATCTTTTTAATAATAAAAACATGGGTTTGCGTCCTGCAGGCCGATTTGCACACAACTACTGCATATATCGATCGCATGCGATCATGAGTTGAGAGACAACTATTAGTCGGTTTTTCTTTTTTTTTTTTTTCTTTTTTTTTTGGGTACATGATCATGAGTTTATGTGCAACATTTTGCAGTGCAGGCAAACAGCAAACTCTCCGGCGCTTATGCAGTGGCGCTTTGTGGGGTTTGTCAGCGCCACCCACGCGTCGTCTTTTGCAGCTCTCACTCCCACGCTCATGCCCCCAATCACTCTCGAATATAATCTGGATTGTGTGTGTATATATATATATATATATCCATATATTTATATATATATATGCTGTCATCAAACCCTACTACATATGTATATATATATATATATATTGATGGTTGCTATATAGTTAACATCAATAGACAAGGGTGAATTGGAGACATATAACAACACTCATGTGATACATACATACATCCATATATATATATGTATGTATGTATAATGTATTGATTCCATTTTAAGTTTTTCTTTGGATATATGACTAGCTGATCAAAGCCATAGGAATTGATCAACATTACTTAGGTTAAAAGACAAAGGATAAGTACTTTAACCTCTTTTTTATTTTATCCAAATGCCACACACTATCGTGTGGCTTTAGGAATGCTTCGACCATTCCATATGCTTTTAATTTTATGTTAAAAAGCAAAATTTTAGTCGAACAACTTCAAATTACGAGAAGACGGTTTTAGTTAATTAACCGTGAGGTCAACCAAATTAGTAAAACTTAATGTGTTATGAGATCTGTTAAAATGGTCTTTCTGCACCTTAAGTTTGACCAAATTATATCCAAAAAAGGAGATTATCAACATGAAATTAAAAACACATGAGCGGCATGATATTCCTAAAAACACGGAGTACTAAAACGTGACATTTAGATAAAAATCAGAAAAAGTTGAGGAACTTATTTGCAAATAGTATAATAGTGATTAGTGAATAACATTTTTTTTTTTTGGACAATCAAAATTTAATTAGATTCCATAATATTATTTCATATTATTTCAATGTAAAATACGGATAATATAATTTTATGTTTAGAAACAATATGATTCTTACGGGGCCCCTTTTAATTAATTAATTGATAACTTTCATTATAATATGATAGTTAGGTATGTTTCACAATACTATGATTAATTTCTATATATATGAACTCCTATCTCAAGCAAGGTTGGCAAATATGTTAAACGGATGCAGTTAGATTTGCTCGTATTTTAATCAAATTTTGGTAGCTTTTTGTCAATTTGCGTTTCTCAAGTAGTTAACTTGGTCGTATTTTGAATACATGTTGGTGTTTATTCTTAATTAGCGGGTGTTTCCCTCCCACCCCCCACCAGGAAACCTATAGCTATGCCGAATAAACAAATTTGCTACGGACTTATATATATATATATATATATATATATATATATATGTGTGTGTGTGTGTGTATAGATATAGATACTTGTACCTATTGTAATATTGTCATTCTTGAATCTTCAATGACACTGTATAGCGCTCCAGAAAGCAGACTACTCAACAATAATTCAATACTAGTGGATATTTGGTTCACGGATTCAGAACTATGATTCAGAATCATTCTCAATTTATGTGTATTTTTTGTGAGAGAAAATACTGTAGCGAGCCACGAACCATGTCCACATACCAAACACCTTCTAAATAACTAACAAGTGCAGCGTAATTTTTAGACTCAATATACGATTTTTTGTTCTTGTTTTTGTGAATGTAAAATGGAGCTGTTGTAATATGATAGTTTTTGATAGTTTTTTATTTTTATTTTTTATTTTGTTTTTTTATTTTTTAAATCCGACAGCTAGATTAGTAAGCTTTCTTTATTGCTAATTGTCAACACTTGGAGCTCACCTAACTCTTAGGCTGAAAAAGCAAAAAGGAAATTCAAACGACTTTTACTACGTGATAAAAGAAAACACTAATATCTCTAACGACATTGTTAAACAATATACCATAAAATATGTATATGATGTTTATATGTGTCCCATGTACCGTATAATATTAGTTTTATTTTTTTTTTTCGCATCAGCTTTCCCCATGATTTTGGTACGTAATGCTAATTATACTGACCTTCTCACTTTGTAACTTTAATATTGATCGAGTTTAATAGGCCAGTTTATGTAAGGTAGGCTTAATTAGCTTTATGATGAAAAGATTGGCTTAATTAGTTAGGTAGAGATGCTGCGAAAATAACAGCAAAATGAGAACCGTACGTAGATGTGCCCGTTCGGTTCCCTAATTCGAGTTGAGATGTGATGTTATGTGAGAGCTTTTTACTGTAGTAAAAAAGTTAGATGTGACTGTTTCTGAGAGCTTTTTATTATAGTAAAACTCGAATTTTAAACTCGAATCAGCGAAAAGAACGGGGCTAGTTAACCAATTCCCTATAGAACTAAAATGCATGAACTTAATTTTATATACACATATATTTCGGCACAAGTTGTTGGAATGGGGCTAGTTAACCAAGATCCTATAAACGGCGGAATGCTTTTCTTTCATTTTTTCCATTTCTCTGCTAGAATTTTCTTGTGATCATTTACCAATGTCATATCTAGAGAACTGTGTGTTCTTAGACAAAAGATATCAGTTAAACTTGTATTTTCACTTTATTCCATGATCACCATGCAAAAAAAAAAAAAAAAAAAAAAGTTATAGTTGTAGAGGTAAGATTTCATAATTTGTTGTATCACACACAAAATATATGCGTGGTTTGGTTTTATATTTACCCAATTAATTAGAATAACGGGGGAAAAGAATAAACTAATCATCATTAATTTGAAACAATGGAAAGCAACTGTGTTAAGTCCTCCAATTGCAATCGACAAATTAAAGGACGAAGATTATTTTGAAACGACCCGAGAGGAGCGGGGGAAGAGACACGTGGCAGCTTTAAGAGCAAGTGGACCTCAACTACGCTAAGGTTTAAACTTTTAGAGATAAAGATAAAGAGTTTGCAGACCAGAGTGGTGCATGTGGGTCATGGAAAATTGAAGCACACCACCTTTCTCTCTCTCTCTCTCTAGATCTCTCTCCCTCATAGATATTACACGACAGTCCAAATTATCAGCAATATTGTTAAAATTCGTTTGCTTAATGGTACTATGGCCATGGATGTGTATGGTAATTATTCCACTAAAACAAGCACTAGTTAAAAAAAAAAAAAAAAAAAAAAAAAAAAAACTTTGATTATGGATATTTTTCCCAAAAAAAAAACAAAATTTAAAAAAAAAAAAAAAAAAAAAAAAAAGATACTTTGATCCAATATGGTCAAATGCATTTGTAAATTATGTTTAAGACGGTTTGATCTAGTGGCCACCGAGGAGTTTATTAGGATAGAGTTTTAAAACGTGATTATGGGTTCAATCTAGTCTTGTATAAAAGTAATTATAAAATCTTAATTATATGATGTGTGCTATTAATATATTTAATCATTGTGTTATCTAGTTCATGATCTTTAATTTTGGGACGTATCACAAGTAATTAAGTTAGAGAATGAATGATACTGAATAGCTTACTTAGGTAATTAATTAAACGATTACTTAGAGAGAGCTTCCAATATATATTTGAGCATGTCAATTAACACGGCAAAAACCTAACTTAATGATTGATCAAATCCCAAAACAAGGAAACGATCTAGGATAATAACTGTTAGGAAGGAGCATTGTATAAGATACCAATGGTACTAGTATCATTCACTAATAATAAGTAGGTCACGCATCTCTCTTTCTCATAAGTGGAGCTCATATTTTATTAGTAATAATACTTAGCACCGGTGGTATTTCTAAGTATTTTTCGTTAGAAAGAGAGATTATGAATAATAAAGATGGCGTATGGGAGAGAATTAGCGAAAGCCCTTATAATTAATCAATCTAATTACGTCCAAAACCCTATTAATATAGAAGTACACACACACACACACACACACAGAGTTTTACTTAGACTCATTGTATGGCTCAAAATATACTGGCTAGAGACCCATATATGGTAGTGGAAAAGAAGATGCTCAATAAGGCGCACAAAAGAAAGGTTAATTAGCTGAAAACGAAAATGAAGTTTGAGTTTGGAGATAAGTAGTAGTAGTGGTAATTAGGACTTTGTGGGCTTTTAAATTATTGAATAAAATAATAATATCCCTAAGCATATTATTATATAATTGGAGAGAGAGAGCCTGTCTGAGAGGGAGAGAGAGAGAGAGGTGGGGACCCATCCACCGCCCATAAGCACGCAGTCCTACCGAAACAAAACCCATCCCCTATCTATTTTTTTTTTCTTCCCCTCAATCTAACCCTAACCCAACACTTAACACACCCAGATATTAGAGAATCCCAAGCTACAGAGAGAGAGAGAGAGAGAGAGAGAGAGAGAGAGAGAGAGAGAGAGAGAGCTTAGAGTCTCCTCCCATAACTATTCTTCATCTTTCTCTCCCAAATCTTCAACAAACACTACACGGCAGAATTTGATCATCATGATGCACCAGCTGATCATCGCCCTTAAGAAGCGTTAGAGAAGATCATGATCAACAACAACAATTTCAATATGGCAATTTCTGCTCCGATTTTGGTGGCCTTACAGCAGCTTAATCTCTAGTATTACTTCTTTTCACTTCGTTTCCACAAACCCAAAACAAACTAGTTTCAGCTCCAGTTTATTTCTTTTGAATTTTGCACAAAACCCTTCTTGTTTGAGCTCTACTAGTACTTCTCCTTTGTGTTACAATTAGGGGAAACAAAGAAGCTATAATATAGGCTTAATATTATATATATATCTATAGTATATATAGAACATGGATGCCCATTCTCTCCCACCTCCTTTCCACACAAGAGATTTCCACTTCCAACAGCAACAGCAACAATTCCACCACCAGAGCTCCGAGGACGACCAAACCGGCAGCTGCAGCAACCTCTCCAAGGCCCCGAAGAGAGATCGAAGCGGCGGCGACGACGACAACGACAGCGGCGGTAACCAATCCAATCAAGACCTCGTCATCGTCGGAGGTGGTGATGACCACGATAAGATGACGAGGCGGCCCCGCGGCCGCCCTGCTGGGTCGAAGAACAAGCCGAAGCCGCCGATCATCATCACCCGGGACAGCGCCAACGCCCTCCGGACCCATGTCATGGAGATCGCCGACGGATGCGACATCGTCGAGAGCGTTTCCACCTTCGCACGCCGCCGCCAGCGCGGCGTCTGCATCATGAGCGGCACCGGCACCGTCACCAACGTCACGCTCCGCCAGCCGGCCTCCCCGGGGGCCATCGTAACCCTACATGGAAGGTTCGAGATCCTCTCCCTCGCCGGCTCGTTCCTCCCTCCTCCTGCCCCGCCCGCCGCCACAGGGCTGACAATTTACCTCGCTGGAGGGCAAGGGCAGGTCGTCGGCGGGAGCGTTGTCGGAACGCTGATTGCCTCTGGACCGGTGGTGGTCATGGCGGCGTCGTTTAGCAACGCGGCCTACGAAAGGCTTCCATTGGAGGAGGACGACCAGACTCAGCTGCCGTTGCAAGGAGGCGGCGGAGGAGTAGGGTCTCCGACCGGAGGCGTCGGATCGCATCAGCAGCAGCAGCAGATAATGGCGGCG